GGCTCTCTTTCCCTCTTGCCTGCCACCATGTAAGATGTCCCTTGTTCTTTTGCCATGATTGTGAGACCTTCCCAGCCACGTGGAACTGTGAGTCCATTAAATCTCTTTTTCTTCATAAATTACCGAGTCTCGGGTATGTCATTATCAGCAGCATGAAAACAGACTAATACAGCTGGTCAGCACAGTAATACAAGGGAAAAAAAGGCAGAAAGGTTAGAAAGGAAGAAAAACTAATTATTCACTGACAATGTGATTAGTTACATAAAAAAACTAAGAGTATCTACAAACTGTTAGAAATAATAAGAAAATTCAATAAGATTGCTTGATCCAACATCAAAAATTAAAAAAATCAGTAGCATTTCTGTGCACCATCCATGTGTTTATACTTCAGCAACAAGCAGTTAACCTACCTATATGTTCAGTGCAATACCAATTAACATCCCACAGGAATCTTTGATGGATCTTTGATGTGCAGATGCTAAAACTCAGCCAGAAGAACAAAGAGGAAAGAATATCTGTCATAAATTTAAAGAATAATAATAACAGGGATAGCGGTTCTATCTTCTACTTGTCCTACCAGATATAGATTTAATGTAAACATAGTGATCAAAAACAGTGTGGTATTGGTGAAGGGCCAAAAAAAATTAGACCAATGGAATAGAGAGTTTACAGATGGACCCACATATAAATGGTATACATGTTTGCAGCTATAACACTGCAAAACTTTGAAGGAAAGAATATACTATTTGATTTAAAATGCTGGGACAATTTGTCATCTACATGGAAAAAGATAAAAGTAGATCTCATAAGCAGAAAATAATTCCATGATTAAGAGATCTAACTGGAAAAGAGTTAAACTATGAAACTTTTTTTAAATGTGGGAGAACATTCCTATAATCCCAGGAAAAGAAAAAAAATGTTTGACAAGGTACAAAAGACAAAATGCCAAAAAAAAAAAAAAATCAGTTTGAGATTATAGTGAAAACAGTATTATACATGAAAGCACTAACTCAAAGATAAACCAGAGATTGGAATAAAATATTTGCTATACACTTTAATGACAAAAATTTTGTATCCAAATATATAAATAACTTCTAACTAATTAGCAACAAAAAGGTGAAGTTCACAATAGATAAACAGGCAGAAAGTTGTACTATGCAGTTCACACTGAGGGAAATATAAATGGCCAAGTAAAATACGAAAAACTTTACAAACTCACTAGTCAAAACAAGATCTCATTTCACACCATTAACATCTAAGCACACCAAGCTTTGCTGAACATACAGGGAAACAAGCTTTGCTGAAGATATAGGGAAACAGGCACTCTGGTACATTGTTGGCACAACCCTTTTGCAGATGAATTTGTCAATTCCTAATATATTTAAATTTGTTTTCTCTATGAACTTAGGAATTCAAATTCTAGTTGTCACAATAGTGCATATATCAAAATATGCCTTGCAACTTTATAAAATGAAAATATAAAGACAAGCTTACTATGTTTAGGAAGATGGAAAAATAAACCATACTTTATATAGCTGGATACTAAATACTACAAATACATTGTATCTATATGTACCAACATGGATAAAATTCAAAAACATAATATGGAGTGATAAAAAATAAGCTCCAATAGATATGTATAATGTGAAACTATTTATTACATCTGAAAGACCACAAAACAGTAATATTTATTTTTTACAGAGAACACACACACATACACACACAACGCAAAACTGTGCAGGTAAATTACATACATAAACTTTTTGGGATAAAAAGAGGGAGTAAATCATGTGTGTATGACTTTCTGCATTCAGATTTTTTTTTTTCTTAAAGGTAGAAATCTGAGAACAAACAAGTCAAAGTATATTAATACTTGCTTAATCTCAGGGATAGATAAATTGGTGTCTGTTCCATTACTTTTTGTTTTCTAATTTAACTGAAAGTGCTTAAATTTGAAAATGAAGTCTGACGAGAAAGCATTCTCCCCAAATGCAGGTGTTTTTCAACTTTTAATACTTGCTTCTCATATTGTTGCCCTTTCTGGAATGCGAAGGCAAGAAGAAGGATAAACCATGATGTCTTAATGTGTGAACATCACCTTATCCAGAAATCAAAGACGGGGCTTTCTATACCTCCACTCCCAGGTCTGTTGCCTGAGACAACAACAAGGTGACTCCCTGTCTCAAGTGGGTGAGCTGGGTCCTGACAGTTATAAAACCTGGGGATGCGCTGGGCAGCCAGCCTGGAACTGGATGCCTGTGCAAAGCAGCAGAGGTATTTCATTCTGGGCACATCAGTACAAATTGTGTGGGTGGACAGTTCCACCCCGTCTAAACAAACTTAGCATGTAGAGTCAACACCACTGCTATTTCCCTGTTTTGAGAAACGCTAAAGTAAAACTGAAGAAATTTAGAGCGAAACACATCCTTAACTAGAGTAGAACAAAAATAATAAAATATAATGGCTCCAAAGTTACATTTAACTCTCACTTATACATTGTTTGGCCCATGCTATGTTTTTGTGAAGTTTTGGCTTATTGCTAATATTTAGAATTTGGGAAGTTTCTAATAAACACTGGATTCCCAACTTCCCTCTTGAAGTGATTCTGGCACAATTGGGCTTGACTTCTAGCATGTTAACAACTAGGCTCTGAAGATTGTCTCTTACCCCATTGCCTTGCTCCTTACTTCACCTGCTGGCCCCATTGGGGTTTCAACTCTCTCATTTTACAGATGAGAAAACTGAGGCTCAGAGTGGTCAACAGCCTTGCCCAACAGCAGAGTTTCTCTGTGAAGGGAGCCATGTTGGTGCACATTGCTTGATTATCAGTGAATGCTGTGATTCCTTTTTCTACAAGATGAAGGCACATTTCATTATTTTACTAGCATATTCTCTCTAACCCGGCAGGTACACTGGAAATGATAATCCTGAAAACTTTTTAATGAAAGACTTACTTCAAGTGATGAGAAAAACAATACAAATGGATTAATTTCAGCAAGAAGTCACCAAGATGTGGCCGAACCCAAAGCAGTAAAGTTTACATGTAAAAATAATAAAGGAATATAACAACAGAATTGAAAAATGGTATAATTAGAGTTTGCATGGTCCCCAAGCATTACTTTTTCAGACTGATCCTTACACAAGTACAATTCTTCCACCCCTCCCTGATCTCATTCCTCTTCTAAATTCAGAAACACGTGCAAACCCTGCTCTGGATCTCTTCTCCAGGCTTCCCCACAACATACATTTCCTTTAGGATTTTGCTTTTTTGGATTTATTTGTCCTGGTTCAAGCTGGTAGATAATCCCCACTGACTTGCATGAGTTTTATCTGTCGTGCCCAGCAGCATTTAAATACCTGGACTGGGAATTCCTAATCTATGCAAAGTGCATTTTTGTTAGAACCAGCTACATAAAGAGATGACATGGATCACAAATGTCCTTTAGAATGTGAAATAGTGAATAACCTAAATATAAAATGATAGGGAAATGGTTCAATTAACTTTGGCATATTGTGAAAAACTGCAACAAAGCAAAAAGAAAAACAGGAAGATCTTAAATACTGACATGGACTGGTCTACAGGTTGCAAAGGAATACAGAACAGTATCATTTATGTTAAAAAGCCAACAAAACATACATAGTTTGTGGGTTCATATATGTGTGTGTAAATGCATGGAAAGTGTTTGGAAAACAACATGAAAGTGGTAAGAGTCGATACCTCTTGGAAGACAGGGAAATGGGGAGAGACATGGGGGTGTCGGAGAGGGCTTTAGTTTCACCTGTACTGTCTGCAATGTCTTCATTTAATTTAAATAGGAAAAACTTGGATGATATGTGACCATAGGTTCTAAAATTCTTTGCATGTAACATATATAAATATTTCTGTGACCGTTAATTTCCAATCATAATCTCAATAACATTTGTAAAAACATCTGCTCATCCTTGGAAATGAAATTTCCTATGCCACGTTATCACACAAATTAACTTTTTAAAGTGTAAAAATAACACAAAGCATCTGAAAAGTTAACTTTCACAAGGTAAAATCAAGTGCACACATGGAGGGTGCACAGAAATGCTACTGATTTTTTTAATTTTTGATGTTGGATCAAGCAATCTTATTGAATTTTCTTATTATTTCTAACAGTTTGTAGATACTCTTAGTTTTTTTTTATGTAACTAATCACATTGTCAGTGAATAATTAGTTTTTCTTCCTTTCTAATCAAGTAAAGTTTACTTTCACAAGGTAAAATCAACGATCTGCTCTAGGAGGCACAATCGTTTCGAGGACAATCAATTTCTCTTTAATGGCAAAGAATAAGGAATATGGCGCGGATTTAAATAAATCCGGTTTCACTCAAATTCCAAGTCAAAAATCAAAGTAACAGATTGCTTAATTGATTCTAACCTGAGTTCGATTTCTAAGGTGCTCTTAATTTTTCAGTGATAGCGTTTGCTTTTCCCAACAATAGCAAAGGAAAACTGGAGGGCAAGTTTTGCAAGGAAGAAATTGAGCCCCAGAGAGGTCAGGATTTAGTGCGAGGTCCCGGCTAGGAAGAGGCGGCTGGAACTCCCTGCAGGTGTCTCCTGCCAGCCCTCTGTGCGCTCGGCCAAGCTGCTTGATTTGATTCACCAGCCTGACACCGTGCATCTCCACATCCGGTGTTCTCAAGTATCATCCCTGGCGATTACCTATGCGTCTATTTTTTAATTTACTGACCTCTGGAGGCCTGTCCCCGCCGTCTCTGATTCCTAGGCACTGGACAAACCCCCTCCTCGCTTCTTCCCCCTGCTCCGCGCATTCCACCTGTTCCGGGGCATCCCCGCTCGCTTGCTCCCTTCCGCACGCTGCCTGTCCCGGGACCTGCGTGAAGCCCGCAGCCCCGCCACTAGTCGGGCAGCTGCTACACTACCGCGCCGCTGCGGGTGGGGCCAGCGTGTCCCCCGGACGCGGGGAGGGGGGATGGAAGTGCGGGGTGGGGGTCGCGCAGCCCCCACTCACCTTGCTGGCCGTGGGCGCCGCCGCCAGGAGCACCAGCAGGAGCTGCAGCAGGAGCACCTGCGATCTGGGCGCCGTCCGGGGGCTCATGGTGGGCGCGCGCTCAGAGCCCGGGCGAGTCCGGGGACTCGCAGGCTCTCAGGCCACCGCGTCTCCTGCGCAGCGCGGCTCGGGGAGCCCGGCTGGAAAGCTCGCCTCGCCACTCGGCCGGGGCGGGTTTTGTAGGGCTCGGTCGCACGGTTCGTCCCTCCCCACCCAGGCTTTTTGGTTGTGGCTCCAAGGGAGGGAAGACGTGGCTCAGGTCCCGCCCTCGTACCCCCCTCCCTCCCAACTTACCAGGCAGTGTCCCTTCCACCCGGGCATCGTGCCCAGGAGGCGAGAAAGGGCTGGGCGCCTGCGGGGCAGGTGGGCGCGCATCCAGGGTAAGGGGTTAAGGAGGTGATGCTCCCAAGGTCCGGGGGCCCAGGCGGGAAAGTGGGGTGCGGGTCCGAGGTGGGGAGTTTGGGGGTGTGCGGTGGGGCGGTAGCTGCGCAGGGTGGAGGGAGTGGCCAGCGGCCCTGCCCAGATTAAGCGGGAGGCGCGCCGGGCGTCTGCACTCAGGAGGCCCTGCTTGCTCCCCGCGCCCGCGGCGGTCCGCGTTCCCCGCCTCCAGCCCGCCTCCAACTTGCAGCCGCCGGGCTTGGCTGCGAGAGTGCCGCGAAGAGGCAGCGGGGCGCGGGTGGATTGGGGCTGGAGGTGCGCGTCCCGTGGGCCGGCAAGGCGGCAGCTCCCGGCGCTGCGGGCGTCCCCACAGGTAAGGCTCCCATAGTTGGGGCAATCGCTGTCCCGGGGCCCCTGCACCTGCCTGGGAGGGGCAGTGGAGGGAGCGTGGCATTCAAGGGGTGGTGGCGGGCCCCGCTGGGGAGTTGTGGCCCGGGGGTCACCAGAGGAGAGCTCGTCTGGCTCCTGGGCTTGTCTGTCTGGGCTTTAAACTGGGTGCTGTGTGTTTTGATTAATTTGGAGGCTCGAGTTACCGGCCTGGCAGTCGGGGCACTCCAAAATGCCAAGAGAAAGAGGCAGCTGAGGAGAAAGAGAAAGCCCATCTTATTCTCCGCTGAGTTGAACTGCTTTTCAGGCCAAATCTTATCTGCGGAAATGCAGGGCAAAACAAGACCCAGCTCTGGTCAGGGTGCGCTCTTCCTGGGGGTGGCCTGGGATGCAAATGTGCCAGGGCACCGTCCTCCAGCAGGCTCTCGCCGTTTCCTGTGCTAGGGACCACACTGGCTCTGGTAAAGCAATTAGACTCCTTCTCTGAAGAATGCTGTGAAATGCATAAAATACAATTAAATCAGAATCAGTTTTATTGGAACGCAATTATGGAAGCCCTCAAGTCGTGATATAGTAACTAACATAGGTGCATCATCATTATTGCATTAAATAGCTAGATTTAACAGCAGGCCAATTAAGCAACTGTAATATCAAAGTAGTGATGACCGCAAATGGTATTTTGAGATAATAGCCCAAACTGAAATGTGACATGAAAATACCAGTGGGTGCAAACTATCAAGAACTGCCAATACTACTGTGGTCTGTTGCCTATGATCATAAGGGAGGACATGTTGAACTTCTGTGACATGTTACTAAAAATAAAGATGCAACTTATTTTCCTATGTAAGTTTCCTATACAGATCACCTGAATTCCATCCTCAGGTTAAGAATCTTTGCTTTGGAACAGGGTTGCTGATATTTGCTGCAGTTGGTTTCAGACAGCAAGTATGATCTATGCAGTTGGTCACTGATTGTAGGGAACCACTTTCTTGCAGTTAAACTTGGGGTCTATTGGTGTCTTAGACCTTTGTAGCCATGCAAGTAGGCAAAACCTTAACAGTGAATGAAGACACTCCTCCCATTCCTTTTATTTTGACTATAGCGTGAATCTTACTGTCTTCTTTCTGTCTTTTATGCCAGTGATTCTCAACTGTGGTTGAGCATTAGAATCTTTGGGAGGATCAAAAAATGTTGATACCCAGACCATTCCAAGCCAATTTTAGCAGACTCTCTAGCTGTTTTAAAATGTCCTGTACATTGCCATGCACAATCAAGTTTGAGAGTTCCTGTTTTCACGCACATGTTGAATTAGGATATATTCTTAATAGAATAATAAAAAGCACATATATTAAACTCTTCATTACAACTTGGGAACACTGCGGAATGTATGACCATATCGCAGATGTTGCAGTGTGGCATGCAGTAGCTTCTTTCCATTGGTAGGGAAGGTTCTTCTGGAAACTTCTGCCACTCTTGTGGAATGAAACAGCAGGTGTTCTGTTGATGAAGTGACAATGTCCAAGAGTTCTGAGAGTCACATGATTATCTTTCACAAACTGACAATATTTATTTTAAAAAGTACAAACAAAAATGTCTCAATGCTAATGTTAAATGCTGCTTCTCTTTGCCAAATTCCAGAAGATTCCTCAATTTGAATTTTAATTGCCTTTTCCTGAAACCAGGTCATTTTGTTGGAGGACTAGACTTGGTTTTATCAACTTTGGAACAGGAGGTAGCAGTCAACTGCAAGTCATTTCTGATGCAGATACAGAGCCGGATAGAAACTTGTGATGTAAATACAGCAAGAAAGAGGCAATGCTGGAGAGCTTGACCTCTGGAGTAGACTCTGGAGTTCTGAGTCTTTTCCATACTTACTAGTGTGATCTAACCTCCCTGGGCTGGAGTCTTCCCTTCTATAAAATAGACATACTCACCGTACCTACCTCAAGGAGTTGTTGGAGTCTAATAAGCTAGCAAAAACCCTTTGTGCAGGATCTTCACACAATAGTCACATAGTGAAATTTGATTTTTTTTTTTTTTTGTACAAAGGAAAATAGGTGGCCCTGATGAGAATGGTGGCATGTGGTAGAGATGCTCTTCTGAGCTCAGTACTAAAACAGCTGGAGGCAAGCATAGCCCATGAACTCCCTTGAGGTTAATACACTTCCAAGGCCTCTAGAACCTTGCCTTGGCATCCCTGGGAGCTTGTTGGAAATGTAGAGTCTCAGGTCTCACTCTGGATCCACTGAATCAGATTCCACATTCACCAAGATCTGCTGGCAATTCATTTGCACCTGGTACTTGAAATACTGAGAAGCTGCTTCTCTAAAAGCCATATTAGCCACTCATTCCCCACCTGCTACCTTTAGAACAATGTTTGACTGGCTCACCAGGTGGTGTTAATTAACTGGAAGTCTTGATTGTTAAACAGTTGTCTCTGGGTCAGGAGAGTTGATTTTTCAGTTGGTTCTTTAAATGTAAAACAATAAGAGGAAAGGAGGATGGTTCTTTTTGTACATTCAAAGGACATAGAGGTCTCTATTTTTTACTTTGATGCCATGTAGGGGTTTTAAACAAAATGAGTGGCTATTGTCTTTGACAAGTCCTGTATAATTTGTAATCACAGTATCATGTCCGTTTTCTGTGCAATGTTTACACAGTTGTGTCTGCTTCGCTTCATTTCAATGTAAGCCCCATTAGGACAGGGGCCATTTTTGTATTCTTTACTGATGTTGATGAATGAGTGAGGCTGTTACTGTTTGCTGAATGAATTAATGAATGCACAAATGAAGTTGAATGGCTTGTCAAATTCACCCAGCATTCACACTTAGCCTGTTTTCTTCCTAAGTTCATGATCTACCTCTAGCCTTTATTGTAGAGGGACGTGCCTCTGCTTTTGATGAGATACAAGATACACCTCTTATGCTGCCCACAGCTGCTTCGTTAATCTTGTTTTACTTCATCTCCCCTCTTAGCCATCCTTTTTCTTTCAAGAACTTTCTCTTTTCAACACCTCTGAAACAATTAGGCTCTTCGGTGCTTTTAGAATCTGAGTGATTACCAACTCATGTCAGTTCTTGCCATTGCATCTCTGAACTCCTTCTCTACTTCTCTAAGTTCATGGCTCCTGCCTTGCACTATCATCTGTGGATTATGGTAGCCATCTAGCTAGTTTTCTGTCCTGCAGTCTTTCTACTCTGGAACTCATCTGTGTAATTATCAGAGTTACCAATTAAAATTGCACATTATGCTAGCAAGGACAGGTGACTTTAGGGACGGTTACAAACAATTCCCCCAATCCAGAGGCTTATCATTATGGAAGTTTTCTCATCATTTATACTACATATTCATCGCAGGACGTGGGGAAGTGGGAGTGGGGTGGGGGTGCTCTGCTTATTGCAGCCACTCAGGGACCTCCTGGAAATTCCCTCTCAACATCATCTTCTCTAATCACCTCAGAAGGGGAAGAGAATGTGCTAAACTAAAACTACCCTACAAGCTTCCTCCTGGATGTGACACAGGCTACTTCTACTCACATTTCATTGACCAAATGGATCACTTGATCATGCTTTATTCTGTAAGGGGCAGAGAAATGAAGTCTACCACATGTCTGGAAAGAGAGGGAAACAGGTGGCAAATGTCAGTAATACCCATCACACACATTGTGCCACTTGTTTGTTTAAAAGCTTCCAAAAGTTCCCCTTTGCCTTCGCAACTGATTTCACATTTCTTGGAATAGAATAGTGTGGTCTCAGGTCAACTTTTTTGTTTTATCTCTTGTGTCATCCCAAGCTTTTTATGATTTCTCTGGTTCACTGTACACACTTCCTTACCTCACACCCTTGTACTTACTATTCCCTCTGCTCGAAGAGACCTCCTCCTTGGTCTGTGTTTTAGACCAAGGTCTGTGTTTTATACCACCTACCTGTGCTTTAAGACCTAGGTCAAGGATTAAAGAGCGTGGTTCCTGTGAACACCTTTGTCCAGAACTTTATTATATAGCACAGAAATAGTGTGTGGTGATTTATTGTTCTGCATTACAAAACTTTTGAGGGCAGGTACAGAGATTATTTGTTAAGAGTATTAGTCTGTTCTCACATTGCTATGAAGAATTACCTGAGACTGGGTAATTTATAAAGAAAAGAGGCTTAATTGACTCACAATTCTGCATGGCTGGGGAGGCCTCAGGAAACTTACAATCATGGTGGAAGGCACCTCTTCACAGGGCAGCAGGAGAGAGAATGAGTGCCGAGCGAAGAGGGAAGCCCCTTTTAAAACCATCAGATCTCATGAGAACTCATTCAGTATCATGAGAACAGCATGGGGGAAACCACCCCCATGATTCAATTACCTCCCGCTGGGTCCCTCCCATGACACATGGGGATTATGAGATTACAATTCAAGATGAGATTTAGGTGGGGACACAAAGTCAAACCATAT